GTGGTCTTGTGGCTGCATGGCGAGCAGTGGCGGTGCTAAGGCTGCTGCCTGTTTGTCCTAGTACCACGGGCTGCACCGTGCCCCAGAAATGGGCCGTAACAGGCCCGGCTTGTAGGTGGAGAGTGCACAGGGCAACATGCACTGCTCCTGGCCAGAGCACTAGCTCCACGCTCCCATTGGTAGGGAACCTGCTGCTGGCTGCTTCTGGGAGGCAGCATAGGCTGCAGTACCAGGAGCGGCAGGGAGTCTGTCTTAAGAACATAAGAATGGCGAATAGTAATAGAAATGTAGCTGTGTTAGTCTGGTGTCGCTGAAACAAAAAACAGGACTATCCAGTCAGACCAAAGGTTCATCTTGTCTCATACCCTGTCTTCTGACTGTGGCCAATGTCAGATGCTCCAGAGGGAGTGAACAGAAACACGTAATTATTAAGAGATCCTTCTTAGGGATGTTAAATTTCAATTAATTAACTAATATAATAGTTGATGAGATTTTTCCATCTACTATTTGGTTGGTCGATAAGGACTAGGTGTCCAGTTAACCTCAGGCTCTAAGGTGCCACTCTGAAACACCGCAGGGAGCACAGGGCCAGCGGGGGACTGCCTGAGTCTCCTGATGGCCCTGTGTGCCCCGCAGCGCTTTTGCCTTTGAAGTGTCTACCCTGAAGCTGTAGCTACACTCCAAAGGCAAAAGTGCCCTTATCAACTAATTGAATAGCCAATGTAAATTGCATGGACTATTCAATTAGTCAATTAATCAAAATTTAACATCCATACTCAACACACTATTCAACTAGTCACTTCTCCCCCTCTTGCTGCCTCCATCAGAAAGAGGCAGCAAGGGGAGGAACTGGAAGAGGTGCTGACTGTAGCCAGCTTAAAAGCCAGTTTCCCCCCACAGCTCCAGCTCCGTGGGAGTGGACAGGGGTGCAGCAGCAGTGTTCCAACTTTGAAATGTACAAAAGTTACTACTGGGCTGTTGTACATTGCAAAGTTGGAACACCGCTGCTGCACCCCTGTCCACTTCCACGGAGCTGGAGCTGTGGGGGGAAACTGGCTTTTAAGCTGGCTACAGTCAGCACCTCTTCCAGTTCCTCCCCTTGCTGCCTCTTTCTGATGGAGGCAGCAAGAGGGGGAGAAGTGACTAGTTGAATAGTGTGTTGAGTATGGATGTTAAATTTTGATTAATTGACTAATTGAATAGTCCATGCAATTTACATTGGCTATTCAATTAGTTGATAAGGGCACTTTTGCCTTTGGAGTGTAGCTACAGCTTCAGGGTAGACACTTCAAAGGCAAAAGCGCTGCGGGGCACACAGGGCCATCAGGAGACTCAGTCAGCACCTCTTCCAGTTCCTCCCCTTGCTGCCTCTTTCTGATGGAGGCAGCAAGAGGGGGAGAAGTGACTAGTTGAATAGTGTGTTGAGTATGGATGTTAAATTTTGATTAATTGACTAATTGAATAGTCCATGCAATTTACATTGGCTATTCAATTAGTTGATAAGGGCACTTTTGCCTTTGGAGTGTAGCTACAGCTTCAGGGTAGACACTTCAAAGGCAAAAGCGCTGCGGGGCACACAGGGCCATCAGGAGACTCAGGCAGTCCCCCGCTGGCCCTGTGCTCCCTGCGGTGTTTCAGAGTGGCACCTTAGAGCCTGAGGTTAACTGGACACCCACTGAGCTCAGGCTCCACATGGGACTGCCGCTTTGAAACACAGTGTGCAGCCCAGTGTACCAGGCTGGCCCTGGGTTGCATGTGGTGTTTCAAAGTGGCAACACCGTGTGTAGCACAGGGTCTGGCCCCAGGCTCCATGTGGCACTGCCTCTTTGAAACACCCTCTCCAGTCCCCCCCTTTGCTGCCTCTTTCTAATAGAGGCAGCAAGGAGGGTGAAGCAACTAGTTGACTAGTCCTTCACATCCCAAGTGTTGACTATCTGATAAGCTTTTGCTTATCTGATAGTTGACTAGTCGATTAGTTGCTTACATCCCTAATCGCTCTGTCATCCATTTCCAGTCCCTTACAAACAGAGATTAGGGACACCTTTGGCACCCTCTGCATCACTGACCATGAGCTGCTCAAGGTAAGCCTTTCCTGTCACAGTCCTGTCACACCCAAAGCTGGAGTACCTGGCTACACCCCAAAGCTCTCTTCCTCAATCTTATTCCAGAGCCCAATTATCAGAGTCAAATTATCTTGGGTTGAGGGCAGCAACAGTTTTCTTCAACTGGATTACAAGAAATACAGTGTGAAAACCGCTAGACTGTACAAATACCCTCACACTACTTAAGTCCTGCACATTCCAGGGTGCAGTTCAGTCCAGCGAAGGGTTGTATCACTGATTACCCTATAATGCTGAGTGTCTCGCAATGCTTTGCTGCTGTAATACCAGCCTGGGCTGCTCACAACTAGAAAGTCACACTCTGAGGTCCGGTCTACACTGTGGGGGAAGGCCAGCTTAAGGTATGCAACTCCAGCTACGTACATAATGTTGCTGGAATCAACGTACCTTAAGCCAAGGTTGGCATCATCTCTACAGTGGGAGGTTGACAGAAATGCTGCACTTGACTCCCCTTCATGAGGAGTACCGATGCTGATGGGAGCTCCCGCAGCATATGATTTAGCAGGACTATGAACCCTGGAAGATGGATTGCCAGTGTGTCGATCCTCCAGTAAGTGGAGACATGGTCTAAGTGTGTGTATAGCTGTGATCTTGGTAAAGCTATGTTGACTTCAGTAGCTTGTCAATGATACTGCAATCACTCTGTTTTCCACCAGTCTTGCTAGGGTTGCCAATCCTCCTGGATTGTCCAGGACTCTATGGGAATGAAAAAATATGCCATGTGATTAAATCTCCAAGAATGGAACCAACCCAGACTGACAACCCTACTACTACTTGCAAAATGATCACATCATTTCCAATCTTGGATTTTCCCTGAAATGAATTTTGTACTGTTCAGCTTTCACTTGGGCAAGTCAGATATTAAAGGTGCGTTGCTCCTGCAAAAACAATGAGGAGTCCTGTGGCACTTTAGAGACAATGGGTATGTCTACATTGCACACTTTTTTCAGAATAAGCTATCTTGGAAGAAATACTCCGAAATAACTTATTTCAAAATAGCACATCTACACTACAGGGAAGCTTCAAAATTAGTCTGAGGCAGGCTACCCCAATGTAGAAGCACTACCTTGATTTAGTGCCCCAGGAAGCACTAGGGAGTAATTACTTTGAATGGCCCTGGGGAGGAGCTATTTCAAAATAGCAGCAGTGGAGTGTCCACACTACACTTATTTTGGAATAGGCATTATTCCTCATGGAATGAGGTTTACAGAAGTCAGAATAAGCCGCCCATTATTTTGAATTTATTTCAAAATAACTGAATTGCTGTGTAGATGCTCATATTGTTATTACAGAATAATGGCCATTATTCCGAAATAACACTGCTGTATAGATGCACCCTAAAAATTTATTAGGGCATAAGCTTTCCATGGGTAAATCCCACTTCATCAGATAAATTGGAGTGGAATTTATGGAGTCACGGAATTTATGGAGGCATGGGTGTGTGTGTGTATATATATATATAGAGAGAGAGAGAGACAACAAAAGAAAAAGAGGGTATTTGTGTAAATGAGGCTAATGAAGTCAGGGTGGAAGTGTCTCATTCACAGCATTGATGTGGAAATGTTGATAGCAAGAGGGGAAATTACCTTTGTAATGGGTTAACAAGTTAAGATCTTTATTGAATATTCAACAGTTTGATATTTTAATTGCAGTTACTGAACAGTTCAAACAGAGCACTGGATTAGTTTAGATTAAAAATGAATGCAGGCTTTTAAGTAAAATCAAGTATAAGAGATAAAGTTAGAAATGGTTACAAACAAATTAAAGTGAATAGACAGCTAAAAGTATAAAACTTACTCTAGAAAGTTTTGGCTCAAGGCTTTGTTCACGACAGATATTCCTATCCACAGTTTTCCATCAAGATGGAGACTTACCCTCTCCTCCATCA